CACCCAGCCAACTCTCTATTCCCTATAGAGATTAACAGGGAAAGGGCCCCCCAGAAACTTGCCAGGTGCACACAAATAAAATCCCCCCTTAAATCTCAAATACCACTTCTAAGCTCCTCACTCTACTCTCTACCAGGATTCCTCCTATTCAGTGCTCATGTGTCCCATGCTAAATGCCGAGGCACTGATGTTCTCATTTCTGATCCCTGAGGACAGGGCATTAGGAAGCCCCCTCTATTGACAGACAAGCACAGAAAGGGCGATGACTTTCCCAGGGTCACACAGCTGCTCAGGAACAGACGGCAGGTCTGAGATTCAGACTCTAAACGCCTGACAGCTAGTCCCTGGCTCATCCCAATCAGAAAACTGCTGAGTCTGGGGTTGACTCTGGCTTTACAAGAGGAGTCAGAAATGAGGCCAGGCTCCACTTCATGTCAGGAAAGACTTAAAAAAAAAAAAAAAAAAAAAAAAAAAAAAGGCAAGTTGGGGCTGCAAGTTCCCAGCACACTTCAAGTCCCAGCTGAGCTGGCAAGTTCAAAGTCGGTGCTGTCACCTGCATGCCAGGTCCTTGCTGGAATTCCAAGACAAGGGAAGGCTCTGAAAGTCAGGCTGTGAAACTGATGCCCATCGTTCCCACAGGCAAAGAGACAGAAATCAAATCCTATTTTTCAAGCAAGAAGTTCAAATGATTCATTCTCTTGCCTCAGGCATGTTCATAAGTTACTGCTCTAAGTGAATGTGGAAGGAGATGACTGCCCTTTCAGACTGCAGAGCAAGCTAAAACACGAGCACACGTCCGAGTGAGCACGCCTTCAGCTACAGGGACAAGGGCTCCTTCGTCTTCCTTTCAGTGTTCAACCTCTGAAAATTTAGGGGCCCTGTGATTTTCTTGGTTTCAGAATGAGTCACCCATCACACTGAGGCAGAGCAAATTCTTTGCAAACCGGGGATATGAGTGGAGGGTCCAGGGGAGCACATTCATTTCACACAATATCCTTATCTGGACTTAAATGTGGAGGAGGTGTGAATTTTGGGTGATGCATTGATAGAAGAAAAAAAAAAAAGGCACACATGTTAATGCCATATTCAAATCAGGTCATGGCAAAATTGTGACTTGCAACCACCTGCCTTTTTACTCCTATGCTTTAAGCCACCTTTTAAAGTAAAGATTTCACTACCAACATGGGGATGGCAGGGTAGGCAGGGGGAAACTGCTGTCAGCATCTCTTTACTGAAGAGTCACCTGTGCCCATCTGTTACAGCCAGGCTGTCAATAAGCCCCTAGACCCAGAGACAATGTAAGACGTTTGCTAAAGAGATCATTTGGAGAGGAAAGCCACCTATCCACCTCAAAACAGGAAGGGAGAAGGTGGCCCTCGGGGGATGAGGACACTGAATACCGTGGCTTTCTAGAGGAGGATCTGCTGTTTGTGCTGGCCTAGCATCTATGCCCCCTTCTTCTGATGAACACTCCTCATTTTTACTGAGAGAGTCACTGTAGGGAGACACGTGACCCAGGCCTGACCAATCAGCACAGAACATCCCTTTGCACTGGTGGACAAGCCAGGTCCATCAGCACCTACAGGCACCAGCCCCCAGGATTCAGCTGCAGCCAGTGGGGAGAAGCAGCTCCCTCTCCACTTAGTGGTAAGTTGGCAGGATGTGAGCCTGGCGCTACCAGTGGTCATCTCTGCCTGGCCTCCTAATTACACAGACATAATCACCCCTTTTGTTTAAGCCAACCAGAGTTGAATTTCTAAATCTTGCAAACTGAAGAATACCAACATATCTTCATTTAAAAAGTTATCCCCCGTCCCATGTTGCTCGGTGGTTAGAGCACTGGCCCAGGATCGCTCCCTACCACTGGTCGGGGCGCATGTGGGCGGCAACCAGTCGATGTATCTCTCTTACATCAATCTCTCTCTCTCTCTCTCTCTCTCTCTCTCTCTCTCTCTCTCTCTCTCTCTCTCTCTCTCTCTCTTTCTCTCTCTCTCTGAAGAGCAATGGAAAAAATATCCTTTGGTGAGGATTAACAACAACCACACAAAAATTGTCACATGAATCATATTTTCTGTACTCATGATTTCCAGAAGAAAAGAAAGGCCTCAAGCTTGATAAGACCATCCAAGGCCCACAGTAAACCTGTAAGTCTGCAAAAGTCAGGTCTCCCTCTCCCAGGCACCTCCCCATCTACTGTCCTCTGGCTTGAAACTAATTCAGTTTCAAGCCAGAGGAAGTGCTTGATGCCCTTCCAAGTCACAGGAATTAACAGCTGTGTGCTTTCATCCAAACACAAATACAGTCTAGGGAAGAGAACACCCACCAGCCACACCTTCAAACATGAGAATAACTAAGAGATCAAATATGTGGTTCAAAATGCTCCAGAATACAACTCCTGCTGCCCAGTTCGGTGTCTGATGGACGGGCTTGTGGAAATTGTATTTATTTATGGTGAGCTGGATGCACCACGGTCAAGAAAATAAGAAGGTACCAAAATGCTGAGGGGCTCATTGAGAGCCATGCTCAACTGAGCTCTGAAGTCAGCATTATGAATAAGCCAAACCTCTGGAGAAATTCCTGGGCCCTGTCTGGCACAACCCGGCCAAGTGACTGCCTGGAAAATAGGTTTTTGGAAACTGATGAGCATTCTCACCATGTCCCCTTGCACAGGGCAGGCGGGCTTGGGGTGCAGGAGTCCTTACCCCAGCGCAACAGAAAGCTGGAACTGCAGTCTGCAGAGCCGCTGAAGCGCCTGTGCATGAGGATGGGGCCTCGAGGCTGACTCACTTGGTTCTGTGCTTGAGGCCAAGACTGCCCTGTCCACACCACGTTTAGTCACAGCCCAGCCCTGGTTAGAGAGCAGCCCTTAAAAGGACTGGAATGAAAGAGGGTAGCATCTTTCCAAAACAAAATTGACGAGAACACAAAGTACAAAATGGGGTAAAGTCATCCCTTGCCCCCTGATGTGGCTACAGGACAGCTAAATCTAGTGTTTAAGCTGGCAATTTGCTCCCAAGTTAAAAAAAATAAAATCCGAATTATCCAAATAAGCAAACAAGTATGGCTTCCCTTGTGTTTGCCCCTCTCCCTTGTGAAGCGATATATGTTTTCCGAGCCAAATGAGAATTTCTAAACCAAAATGCTTACTGCACACTCTGAACGGAAATAAAAGCATACTGGAACTCTAAGCCTTAAAAAGAGGGCCAGGTGGCACCAGAGAAATATTTTGGAGATACTTATCAAAATGTGATCGTGGCATTCAATGAGAACTGCCAAGAAAATCAGAATGGGGCCAGTGGCGTGGGGGCGGGGGTGGGGGTGGGTTTTGGCTGCATAATTGCAGTAAACTTCCCCAAACAAATGAGTTCCCAGTCACTGATTTACTGAGCCACTCTGCTTCCCAGCTTCAGATGCCTGGGACTAGGAGGCTCACAAAGTCCAGGCAGGTGGGCTTAAGAGCAGCCACTGCTCGGCAGGACCTGGGAGGATGGCTTGCAGGAACTAATCTTCACACCCCCAGCAGACCACAGCTGAGAGCCAAGGAGAGCCAGAGCTTGTCCTAGGGTGTGCAGTGGGGGTTCAGTGACCAAAGCCCCCAGTCCACTTCCACCCCACCACCTTTTTCACCCTGAATGTCAGGGCTATGGCTAGGGACCCCGTCTGTGTGGCTGTTTATGTGCCCGGCCCATGACACAAGGAACTGGACAGTTTAAAGTTGCTTAATCACAGATTAGACCATGCTCTCCATATTAAAAAGGTCTTAACATCTATAAGATGGAGGTGAAAAACAACCGAATCATTCCTGACAAAGGCAAAAAAGAGGACTGAACTATTTTGCTTACTTAACACATAAGCAGCTAAAACAAGTGTACCTCACTCTAAACATATGGAACTTTAAAAAAAAACACCTAATGCAAGAATCCCAGGGATTTATATTTCATGATTTGACTCCAAGAAACAAATCTTATTAAAAGCATGTAAGTTCATTAAATGCTCCCCACTTTTCTTCCTGCAGTGTAAGGAAGAATGACTTCTGTTAAAAATAATGACTTCTGTCAAAAAATAATAACCAGGTTATCATGAATAATAAGAACAGCAATTATGATAAAAATGATGATGATAACAACAGTAGTAGTAATAGTAGTAGCAGCAAGTATTTATGACACGGGCCAAGCACTGTTCTGTGCATTTTACATGTATTAAAGCATTTAATTCTTGTAGAAAACTAAATGCTATTTGTTACCTTCTTTTTACGGATGGGGAAACTGAAACACAGATTAAGGGTACAGAACCCTGCCCAGCCGGTGTGGCTCAGTTGGTTGAGTGCCATCCCATGCACCAAGAGGTCACTGGTTCAATTCCCGATCAGGGTATGTGCCTGGGTTGCAGGCTTGATCCCCAGTAAGAAGCATGCAGGAGACAGCAGATCAATATTTCTCTCTCATTGTTGTTTCTATCTCTCTCTTCCTTTCCCTTCTTCTCTCTCTAAAAATAAATAGAATGTAAAAAGAAAGAAAAAAGAACCCTGCTCCAGGTTACCCATCCAGTGAGGGCAGGCCTAATACCAGATCTACCTCCAACGAGCTAGGTTGTTTACAGCAGCAATTTTTAAACGGAGTGCTGCAAGAATTTTTAAAACATGCAATACCTGATTAATCAGGGGCACTGAGCTCTTTCCCCTTAGTTTGCCAAGTAAAAAAATAACAATAGCCAACACAACTAACAGCTGTCTAGTGTAGATGAATCAAATATTATACCTATTTTATTTATTTATTTTTTTGGTCAGATGGGCAAAAAATATATTTATTGATGTGCTGCAGAATTTTAGTAATTAGTTTATATGTACCATGAGATGAAAACGGTTGAAAATCACTGGTTTAGAGTGTGGTAGACTGGTTTCAGGAATAAAGAGAAGCACCCACTGACACACGGGGGGACCTGACACAAATGACAGCCTGGCTCGCAGCGGGCAGCAGGGCAGAGTTCATGGGCACACTCACCTTCATTCTCCCCACTCGTCTTGATGCCTTTTGAACCACCCTCTGTACCTTTAGCCTTCTCGGCGTCATCTTGGGCATCCTCAGTGGGCCCTTTCTCCTCGTCTTCTTCCTCTCCGACATTTTTGTAGTTAGGTCTCTTTTGTACCCGCCGCTTGCCTTTGTGCTTGTTCATTTCAAGGGACCGCTCGAGTGTTTCGGTGGGCTTAACAAAGCACCGAATGTTGGGCTTGGCCTAGAAAAGTAGAACCAAGACAAAAGACGGATTTGAACCTTTGCATCTCACTGGAATCTATCAAGCTTTCTGAGAGTTTCTGCTCCAAGAAATTCATTTCCAAGATGAGTGCTACCTCTTAGTTGTTTTTATGACTATTATTAATATCATCATTATTAAATAATCAACACAATAACACCAGTTAGCATTCCACAGGGCTAAGTTGGAAACTGCACTTCACCAACACCATCTCCAAAGTGCCCAAAGGTAAGTCATTTGCATTAAAAACTTCTGCGAACACTCTACGGTGCCAGATGTGTTCTAAGGGCTCTGACAATATTACCTCATTTAAACGTTACAACCCCTTGAGGTAGTACTAGTTATTCTCATTTTACAGATAAGGAAATTGAGGGCCAGAGACGTTAAGTGACCCACCCAAGGCTGCACAGCCAGGAGGAAGAAGAACTGGAATTCAAACCGACATGCCACCTGCACAATTTGTCTAACTACAGCATATTGTTATTGTTATTAACTCTTATTTAAGTACAGTAGGCCATCAAGTTATGTCAGAGATCCGTTCCTACAATGCAACATAATGAGAAATCGCTGTAATTCGGAATCCACCTATATGAGCAAAGTAACAAATAGGTATAATATTTGATTCATCTACACTAGACAGCTGTTTGTTGTGTTGGCTATTATTATTTTTTTTACTTGGCAAACTAAGGGGAAAGAGCTCAGTGCCCCTCATATAGGTGGATTCCGAATTACAGCGATTTCTCATTATGTTGCATTGTAGCACATGGAGCACATACACAGCAGTAATGAAGTGAAACAGTAAAAAAAAAAAAAAAAAAAAATTTAAAGAAAGTAACAATTCCTGGCCTTTACTTGTGGTAAATCCTACCTAATAAAAAAGTAATGTGCAAATTAAGCATCACTCTGCTATACCCACAAGCCACGCCCACCAGCCATGCCTACCAGCCAATCAGAGCAAGTATGCAAATTACCCCCAACCAAGATGGCTACAGCCACAAAGAGTAGGAGAGAAGCTTAGGATTCCCAGGCAATAGAGGAAGCCAAGCTTCTGCAGCCCTGACGGGCCTAGGCCTCCACTCAAGGCTACCAAGTTTCAATTACAGAAGGTAAACAAATCCAAACAGAAATGGTGGCAGCCATGGAGCAAGCAGGGGGCTTGGCTCAACTCCAGGCTACAAAGTTTCAATAGTAGAAGGTAAATAAATTCCAGATACCAAGGCCTCCGCTTGGGTTGCCAGGGGGTGTGGCCAGCCTGTAAACCACCACAGGCCCCTTACTCAGGCCACCCCATGCCCCAAGGGAACCCCCACCCTGATCCGAGACACCTTTCAGGGCAAACCAGCTGGCCCCACCTGTGCACCAGGCCTGTATCCTATCTAATAAAAGAATAATATGCAGATTGACCATCACTCTAATACACAAGATGGAGGCCCCCATGTTTTTAAAGATCCTGCCCCCAAGTGGACACAAGATGGCCACCACATGATGCAGTTGAAGGCAATCAACCCTGCAGGGGAGGGCAGTTAGGGGTGACCAGGCCGGCAGAGGAGGGAAGTTGGGGACAAACAGGCTGGCAGGGGACCCCTTGAGGGGTCCCAGATTGGAGAGGGTGCAGGCTGGGCTGAGGACACCCCCAACCCGTGCACGAATTTTGTGTACCGGGCCTCTAGTAAATAATAAAAAAACCATAAAGCATATATGTACATATGTCGAAATGATGAAACTTTTTTTAATATATAAATAAATGGGAGACGGCGACGTAACCACGCAATGACGTACGTCTGACGTAGCCCGAGGACTGTCTGTACTTTGTTTTAAAAGAAATAAATTGGTGTGTCACTAAAGGAAATGAAACACCAGTGTACCTTGCTATTATAAAAGTTATAAAAATAACAGAAAAGAAAAGCAAGGTAACTGAATGAGCCAAACATTGGCTTTCTTTAGAAGGGGAGCAGGTATTGGTGAGGCATTAAAGCTCCATACCCAAAGGAAGTTTACTCCAAAGAACTTTTCCCTAGAAAGTCAGAAGGCTTCTAAGAGAAATGAAGGCCTGTTGTGACACCAGTGGTTCATGTCCCATATTCTGGAAAACATGGTTTATCTCAGTCCTTACAACAACCAGGAGATATAGGGATTATCAGTCCCACTTCATAGATGAGAAAATAGAGGCTCAGAAGTGTGAAGTGACTTGCCCAGTGTCACACAGCTACTGAGCAGCAGAGTCAGAATTTTGATAGAAGTTTGCCCAATCCCAACCCCAAGCTCTTCCTAAAATAGCAGTGCTTCACCTGGAGCTCAGACTCCGTTCCATTTAGTACTCCCTCAAAAGTATTTACCTGCAAATGGACCAGGATTAGAAAAGGGCAAAGACAAAGGAAAACAGCCTGATTTGTTTGGGGCAGGATTCTCATGGAAGTGTTTTTCTCTTTTCAGGATCTGGATAATGGTCAGACATCATTCTGTCATTTAGAAAGAGGAAAGTTTTCAAGTAAACTTTTCCATTATCTTGATATGGTTTATCCATCTTCTGAATTTATCCCCAACAATGACCAGCTGTATTCTGGGGGCCATTGTATCTAGCCAATAAGTAGAATGTGCTCAAGGAACACAAATTAATTTCAATAACACTCAAAACAAAACGTAATTGAAAGCTAAATTAGCATCCAAATACAAACATTAATTTTTATTTACCCACTTAGGATTATTCATCCATAAAAATGATAAATCGAGACATGATTCTAGGAAATCCAGAGAGCGAATTAGAGACACCACCCACCAAGAGCCCAGGGCATTCCGAGTGAGCGTGCACCGCTTGACAGACAGCATCCATCAGAGCCCACTTGGGATGCCGAGTGATCGAATGCAGCCCCAGATGCCCCCATTCTCTCATGAAGGACCTGTACCCGGTAAGTTAGGGCCCTGAGATGAAGTACAGCTTCCTCTGATCACTGCTTACTCCCAGTGAATATTAGAGCATGCCATCATAACCAAAGCTCTCAGAAACAGAAAACCAAGATCAAGCACGGGGCAAAACACCACCCAGTTGGAAGTTCCAAGCAGAAATTCACAAGGATGGATGTAGAAAACTGGCCCTTAGCTCTGTGTGGATGCAGAGGCACAGAACAATGGACAGAACTAAGGGAAGTGAGGTGGTGCACAAAGCGCAGACTGATCCATGTGTGAACCATAGCTGAACTTCACTTTGGCTATGAGTCCTCCCTGACCTTCAGGTTCCTGGTCTAAAACATTACTAATGAAATCATGGACATAAAGTTCTTTTCAGAGCCTGTCAATACAGTAAGCATCCAACATAAGAATAAGTTACCTTCTTTTCCCTGTCTACATTAAAAAAAAAAAAAAAATCAACTATGAGAATGAATTTTAAAACTTTCCAAAGGGATCTGCTTTTCTCGGTGACCGGGCATTGGGGAGTGGAAGAAGGGAAGGCATGCTTGCTGGGGGAATTTCAAACCTTTAAAATGTAACCTACCTAGTAAACTGCTGGAAATAACCTAAATGTCCATCAACAAGGAGTGGTTAGGTAATTACGGTCTGCCCATAGTGTGGTGAACTGATACAGAAACAGCACTAGGATGAAAAGGCAAGAACGAGGGACACATTGCGACCCCTTTCAGGTAAAGCTTTTCAAAGGCTCCAGTTGGAAACACAATTTTCTTGGAAAGCTGCATTAAGAATGTAGAAATATTAAAATTTCATCTTTGAGGGAAGAAAGGAGGAGGCAGGACTGTTTGCGTCCAGCCACACAAGTGCACTTAAATTTTTCTTTTCTGAACCTTTCATTAGGTTTGAAATTTCTTTTTTTTTTTTAAATAAATCTTTATTGTTCATATTATTACAAATGTTCCTTCCCCCCCCCCCCCCCCCCCCCCCCCCCCCCCCCCCCCCCCGCCCATAGCTCCCTTTCACCCGGTTCCCGCCCCACCCTCTGCCCTTACCTCCCCCCTGCCATTGTCCTCATCCAAAGGTGTACGATTTTAATCCAGTCTCTTCCTGCACTCCCACACCTCTTTCCCTCTGATAATTATCCATCCACTCCCTTTCTTTGCCCCTGATTCTATTACATTCACCAGTTTTTTCCGTTCCTCAAATTTTTAATTCACTTGATTTTTAGATTCACTTGTTTATATATATATATTTGTTGATCATAATTTTTATCTTGTTTTCTTCTTCCTCTTCTTAAATAATACCTTTCAGCATTTCATATAATAGTGGTTTGCTGATGAACTCCTTTGGCTTTTTCTTATCTGTGAAGCTCTTTATCTGCCTTTCAATTTTGAATGATAATTTTGCTGGATACAGTAATCTTGGTTGTAGGTTCTCGCTATTCATCACTTTGAATATTTCTTGCCACTCCCTTCTGGCTTGCATAGTTTCTGTTGAGAAATCACCGGATAGTTGGATAATCCAATGGGTGCTCCCTTATAGGTAACGAACTGCTTTTCTCTTGTTGCTTGTAAGATCCTCTTTTTGTCTTTTGCCCTTGGCATTTTAATTATGATGTGTCTTAGTATTGTCCTCTTTGGATTCCTCTTGTTTGGGGTTCTATACGTTTCCTGTACTTGTAAGTCTATTTCTTTCACCATGTGGGGGAAATTTTCTAACATTATTTCTTCAAATAGGTTTTCAGTATTTTGCACTCTCTCTTCTTCTGGCACCCCCATAATTCTGATGTTGGTATGCTTGAAGTTGTCCCAGAGGCTCCTTACACTATCTTCAACTTTCTGGATTCTCTTTTCTTCTTGCTTCTCCAGAAGAGTGTCTTTTGGCCCTTTGTTTTCCAAATCTTTGACCTGATTCTTGTGTTCCTCCATTCTGCTGTTGGATCTCTGCATAATATTTTCCATTTCAGTCAGTTTATGCTTAATTTTTAGTTGGGTCTCATTAAATTTATCGGCCTTTTCTAGGAAATTCTTGAGAAACCTTATAACTGTGGTTTTGAATTCTATATCCTCCATCTCTTT